CCCCTCGCCTCATTACAAAGCAGATTCCATTTTATCGAGATTTTTGTAACAACTCTTTAATGATTTAGTTTACAGTATAATAAAACAGTATCAAATTAACTCAAACTAGAAATGGGCAACACTTCAATATCTAAAATTCAAATATGGATGTATTCTGTAATATTTCTGAAGATTAAAGGACACATAACTTGTCTAGAAATCATCTTTCCAGTGCACTGATCATGAGTATTTTTAAATAGTATATATACACAAAGTTTATCACACTTCCATATTCGGTCCATTTAAAACCCATGGATTTTCCCACTCTTTTTTAGGTCGTCCCTGCTTCAGTCTCTTCTTAATCCTGAAGCATTGCGACTGGATTGGCTGTGTTTGGCAGTTTCCCATGATGCGCTACAAAGAACAAATACGGTGGATGCTGAAGGAAACCCTAGGTAAGGTAGTAAATCATGTATATTTAATTGCACTGCGCAAACTAGACGTAGTTGTCCAGACTTGCTATGTGTTCCATGATGGAGCTGGCTACCTCAGAGTAATTTCATTTCCCTAGAGGGTGAAATTCACCCCAATGGAGAGAATCCCCATAAAGCCTTCAATTAAGCACAGGTCTGTAAGTGAGGCATAGTCTTGCCTTACCCTTCTGCGGTAGGTTGAATTTCACCCTAGGGTATGTTACCTCATGTACCTCAAGATGTTTAACAGCAGCAACCAAAGAGTTAAACAACTTTCCTATCTTCATAATCCAGGCAGAAATGATCTCTTTAACCACTATAAATACATCTCTCTTAAGAAGCTGCCACTTTGTTTTGAAGAATAATTTTCTGTGTGTTTCTGGGGAACACATTTTTTTAAAATGTGTGAAATTCCCTTACTGGCTCAGTTAGAGTATAAAAAATGCCATTTCCTGAGCTGTGCACATGCCTCCTAACATGGATGCTGGTACACAAAAAGGCCACATTAACTTTTTTCTGTCCCTCTCTAATCACAGGGAAAATCTCATTTTAAGCGAGTCTGTCAAGACGATAGCTGGACACAATGCTCTTTGAATTAATATTGTCAAAACTTCATGTGAAAGATGAAACAATCCCTTTCATCTATTTGGCCTCCTGATAAAACAATCGTTTTTTAAAGTCATGAGACTGCTAACATTTAACTTGTGAATTAAACTGTCTTCCCAGACCACATTCACATTTGTTTACCTGGGGCTATAGCCAACTGATTTTGCTTCTGATTAAACTCCCAGCTGATTTTGTAACAAAAGAGAAGATGGCTGACATCTGCAAGTCATATGGGTAAGTTGGAAACGTTGTAGTTTACTGAAAAATTATGATTATTCTTGAAACTGGCTTAGTTGGTATCTTGGCCCACTGAATATACAAATGAAAGCCAATATGTTTCCTGCTAGTGTACTGTCAACTAAATTTATTTAAATGAAGTATTTTGTGGCTGGCTTTATTTAAAAGTGCCATTATGTTTAGGTTATAAATAGTCAATGTAAAACTTACCTCTGTAGTATTACCTTGCTTTGTAGCAAAGAAGCAACAAAGTCATGTTATAACACGTTCTACACCATTACGTGTTAAGCTCTGTTTACTCCAAACAAATGTTATTGACCTAAAATGTGACCAAGGAAATAACCCCAAAGCAAGTCACAAGGGTTGTACCTTCATAATTACACTAATACCTCTCCCATATTTAACCTGCTTTAGCAGAGACAAATTTACCCACCAGACTTCATGGACCTCTTGTATGCATAAAGACATTCCCTCTGTTCCTAATGACCTCCACTTCCTTATTTCCCTAATGACTTCCCTTCTTTTCCTTATGCAGTTCTTACCTCCATATGATGGTTGTTTTCCGCTTGACCCTTTCCCACTATCATACACAAAAAAACCCTCACTGCAATATGGGACCTAGATGTGTTTATCATTGAGCACTTATGACTTTTGTGAGGGTGGTGTTTGACAAAAGGCCGGCTCTAGTTCATTCAATAAACTGACAATTCTGGGGACTTATGGCATGGCCTATGTTTTGCCACATTGAAATGGCCAGGTTATTCCTAATATTTGGGGTGGTTTGCTCTTACTGATGAGTTTGCTAAATCAGCATTTCATTACCAATGACTTTAGTTTAAAGCAGATATGTATTTGATTCTGGAAATCTTCAATCTCTTTTTTTAAGCTTCTGGCCTGGATATCTCTCTCTCTGCTTGGAACTGGATAGAAGAATAGAAGCCTTTACTAATATTGTTCATTTGGATGATATGAACCTATTGGATGGAGAACATGGTTAGTGAATCCTAACCCTTGAGCACACCAGTATAATACATGATCTATATTGATTACCGATTAAGTATAGAGAAGCATTATCGAGAGTTGAATGATGTATTTTTTTAAGCACTGGTATAGCAAGATCACTTGGCATTTTGTAACACTTAATGTAGTATATTGTACTGCATAAATATAATTGAGTGTATAAATCAGTGACACTGTAGTTTAATTCTTGTCTTCCAACAAAACAGCAGTGTTAAAAAAACAGTCTTGTTTTGAGTGGTTCAAATCTCTTGACATTTTAATCAGATTTTTTGGCTTCAGCTTTCCCTCTGAGTTTTTGTTGCCCCGTACCTTGGAGAATCAGCTAATTCACTAGCGCTATCTAGTGGTTTTTCTAGGCTATAGTGAGCAAGTTTCTGTATAAGATGGCAGAATTGCAGTGAAAATCTACAGTATCCTAAAAAGACACAAAGGAATTTTTTAATCCAAAAATCACAGCAATGGCTATGAAAGCTGTTTTTATTGCTCAATATCCCTCAGTCCTAACAATTAGCTCCAATACACTTGAAAATTTAACAGTTTTGTGCAACTCAAAAAATAAAATGCATTTTAAGCCATTTAACTAAGATATGAATGTAGAATATTGACTCTAGAAAACTAGCTCCTTTTAAATGCAAATAGATGTAAAATTAGGTTTGCTACATGCTTTTTCCTCACAGATAACTACAGCCAGTCATTTAATTTTGCATTTAGGCTCAATTCCAGAGACTGTGGAAGAATGGAAGTTCCTTCTCCATCTTGCACAAAGTCACAGCACTGATTTCCACTGTCATGGTACACAGAATGGGAATACTATCGGCAATGGTAGCACTAATTGGTCAAACTGCATTACTGTTGAAAATGTAGCTCTTTTGTTGGCTAAGGTAATTGGCCCAGATCGTGCCTTGCCAATACTGCAGGAATGTGATTTGACAGCAGAATTGTCTGAGAGATTTACCAGGATCTGCGAAATACTGAGAATTGCTGAAAAAAGGCAAAGGTAAGACGTGTGTGTGTGTGGAGAACAGTTATTGATACTTCACTCAGTGCCGTCCTAGGCCATAGTTTTCTTTCATTAAATTTAAAAAAAGTGAAAACACTTCAGACTTCAGCTACAAGAGTTTAAACAGTGTTACAGAGTGGCAAAACTACCTGAAAATACTTCTGTCCCCAATTTAAGAGGTATATTTGAGACATATAGCTTACAAATGAAAAATGTTTTATCAGAAAATATATTCAGAATAAATGTTTCAAAAAAAAAGGGGGGGGGAGAAGAGAGAGAATAAATGACTAAACTATCAAATGTCCATTGCTGAAGAATTCTACATCCTCCTAGACCTAGACTGCTCTGATGGGTGCTCCATAAATGCTGTAATAGTGCAAAGAGACATTACAGTATTTGGAATTCGGGAGTCTACTTACACTGCAGCTGTTGCTGTCGAAGTAGTTCACCCGCAGATACACTGTTTAACTCCCTTAAAAAAAGCATGCATGGAAAAATGTAAAAGTTTTTGGAATTAAGTGAATTAAGTTCTAGAAGATGGCACTTGAAAAGGTCCTATTGTATGTTACATCAATCCTGAGGGATGGTTACAAGCAAGAGTGAAGGCCTGGAATCTAGGAAGCCCTAAATACTAGCCTTAAATAAAATAATACAATAAAATAAAAAACCCTGCTATCTATTTTCTATTATTTACAGTTTGCCACTCATGTTGTCTATTCAGGTTAGGGAAAAATCTTTAAAGGCAGGGGCATGATAGGGCTCTCTGAAACTGAATCATATTTATCACTGCATCAACCAGTTTAAACTCTTTCTAAAAGCTAGTGTCCAGCAAATTAGTAAAACTAATATGTTTGATTATTTTTTTTCTCTTTTGTCTGTAGAGCCCTGATACAGTCCATGCTGGAAAGGTGTGACCGTTTTCTGTGGTCTCAGCAGGCATAGCAAATATGCCAGGAAACACTGAAATGAAGTTGTGTACTGTGCATATTCTGCATTAAATTGCCTCTTAAGTTTCATCACCTCTAAGAAACAAACTCTTGTCCACACAATAGTGTATTCAGCCAGACTGCATGAAAATAGCACCTGAATTGGGTTTTCTTCTCCAGCTCTTCCTAAATATTTTAAAACATGCTTCTAAAACAGGATTCAGAAATTGTTAGAGTGAAATACTCCAATGTTTATGTTGAAATTAAGACCACAAGTGTCCTAACAGATTTGTTTTTTTACAATAGGATTAAAAGTGATGAATGAATTTGATAATAACTCTGAATGAATTAAAACAGTGGCTAAAAGTACAGTCCTTTGAACATTAAATTAGGTTTGAAAAATAGTGCATTTTGCCTTCAGCAACTTTTCTGTAGGTTGGTTAAGATGTAAATTTCAAAAGGACTAATTCTGTGTATATTGCCAGCATGAGCAGCCCCTGCTGGTAAACATTAAGACTCACCCAAACTGTTTTCCCATCTGACATTCACTTTTGCCAATAGCTGCAGTGAACGCATGCAAGAATGCAGATTTTTCCTTAATTGTATAGAATATTTACTTTTTTGATTTATTTCTTGGAATAGCTACATCTTTATCTTAAGAGCTATGTAAAATAATGTTATGGGATATTGATTGCATAGTGTTGAAATATGCATTAAATCTTTGAAATACTCATTTATTAATAGACCACTGGAAAGAACTGTAAACACAGCATTCGTAAATTGTATGAATCTGTCACGAGGTCATCTTCAGATGAGTTACCACAGAGATCAACATATCTTTAGATGTCAATATTTCATAACTGATTTTTGATCTTTTTGGATGAAATGATGCAACTGCATACCTTTTTATCTAAAATTGCCTTTTAAAAAGTATTTTAAAGGGATGCTGTCAAGTTAAGAATCATTTTTTAAAAACCTTTACCTCTGTTAAGATAAGCATTAGATTATTAAAACTGAATATTTAACACCTAATTTTATGTAATTATTTGCAAAAAATAGCTTTATACCTATTCTGTTTACTCTGTGAACTTCCTAGAACTTAGATAGTGAAAACAGACTAGTGAGATTTGGTTTTAACTCATTTCAATTTAGAGCCTTATTCACTAGCACAATGCTATAATATCTAGGCACTGGTCAAACCCCAAAGAACTAATTCCCTATAAAAAAAGGTCATTTTTTTCCTCCTACACCAACATTTTGAGAGTAAATTTATTTGACAGTATCCCTTTAAAATAAGAGCCTTTATATGTT